TCAGTTCGAAATTCAGTACTCTAGTTCTAAACGATTTAGCAAATTTCAGCACTCGTTTAGCATTCATTTCTTATTAAGAAACATGAAGAGTTGGTTGGTTGTGAAGAATTTGCTAGATTTTTAAAGATATTTATTGCTTAAGTCCAGAGTTTTATGCTAATTAGTCAACCAGATCAGATTGATGGAGAATCGCAAAAATTTGGAGTCATGCTTTTCTAGAGCTTGGATTGTTATTCGATATTTGATTGGTGTACTGAAGTTTCATAATTTTTTAAGAACATGTTTCTCACAACAAGTTTTACATAATGAGTGTAATTGCAAGAACAAATCTTTTTGAGGACTTCATAAAGTATTGCAATAAGAAAATTTTAATTAAAACTCAATCTTCGCAAAAACGAGAAATAAAAATAAATAAGAAGGGCAAGTTGGTTTAAAATTCAGAGGAATTCATCAGTTATAGATTTAATAAAAATAAAAACCAAGAAAAAGAGATCAATACCGTAAAAATAATTGATTAATCGAGAAAAAGATATGAATGAATTCAGCTCACTTGCCTTTCCCAAAGAATAAGACAAATCTGACTAAAATCCTTGTCTACAAAACTTGCCGATTAGAAACGCTACTTCAAAAACCAAGAAGCAATTTAAAGCATTGACCACTTTTATCAAAAAATGTTTCCCATCAGGGAGTAGGAATATGGGATGCACAAGGGGCATGTGCTCCCTTAAAAATTTGGAAACCGTCAACTTTTCCGAGAAGTGGCCTAGTTAGAACTTTTGGAAAAGAACCCAGAAAACAAAGTGTCCCTCCATTCCTGTAACACTCTTATTTCAAAAGATTTCTGACGCCCTTACATTGAAATGATTTATATTAAAATAATTTCTCGAACGTCCATCAAGCAATTTCTAAAAGGACAAGCCAAAGAAGCTTGATTTTATTCCGATTGCCGAAATGATTTTATTCCGATTATTTTCAGGTTTCACTTCAAAACCACACACAAGATGTCGACGTCAGTATGGCGTAAATAAGATCTATTGACAAAATGCGTGTTATACGCACTGATCAGTTGTTATTCGTCTGTTGATGCCTAGACCTCTAGAAGATAAAGGTAACGCGATCATCTGCGTACATGGGCTTGGATCAGCCTTGTTATCGCTACCGAAATACCGAGATAGATTAAAATGATCTATAAGTCGATTGCTGTTAATAAGAGATTCACTTTGTCAGATTGCTTCTGAGTGTATGAATCCTCGCCACGAAGCATTAACGACAAACTATGACGGGAGATGCTAGAGAGGAGAGTTTTCTTTAAGGGGGAACGACTAAAATCTAGGGGGGGCAAGAGGTCAGCTAGGAACAAGTGTTGGCGTACGCCTATTGCCTATTAAAACTTTCATTCTAAATTTTTTTTATTTTTTTTATTGAAGCAATTAAAACATTAAGGCCAATAAGGTTAGAAGCAATCAAATTATTCTAGTATTCGGATTTCAGAAATAAGGGCCTTTTGGGTAGAGCAAGTCTTGAAAGGTAAATTTGTAGTTTAGTTTGAAAATTGCTTAAAAGAGTAACATTTTCAAAACACGCCAGAACATTGATAGAAAATTTCATACTAGGAAATATTATTATCCTATGCTCAGGTTTCTGATACATTTTCTAGCATACAATTTTTGATCATTTTTCGGACGTTTTATACTTTGAAGAGCGACAGGCTTCTCTTAATGTCACACTACTGTTTACTGTCAAATGGAATTTTAACAGAAATACGCAAAACTGTTCAATTTAGCCCCGCTTACAGTCACATTCCGCTTACTGTCACAGTTTTCAAAGTAACATTTGGTGTGACTATACCATCATCAAGTCTTCAAAAGCATTTTTTGTTAGGAAAATCTTGACACTCGTGGCAAAGAATTGCTTTTGTGCGATCAAACCTCGAAGATTTTACAGTGATACGAAGGTCAACTATCTGAACATGTGAGATATTTCTTGCATAGCTTCTCTTTTTCGTATTCTCCTTACAGCAGATGAAAACTGGACGATGAAAGAAACTAAACAATGAAAACAAGTATGGGCTTAGGGGATGTCAAACGTTTAGGGGGGGGGCATGATATGGACTGTGCCAGAATATTATTGCTTCATTGAGATATAACAGCCCGAATGGGGTCGTAAATGCGAGATTTTTCACACCTGAATATAACATGATATAACAGCCCCTCCCAGTCCCATCTCTGCTGCCTATGAAAACCACTAGTAATAAAAAATGCTCTAAAAGCAGTCACAGGAGGAGGTCTTTTGGATGAGAGCTAAAATGAAACTAGGCGCTTAAAAGTTAAATAAATATATTAAGACAGGATTACCATCTCTATACATTTTCTTTGTTGATAAAATGACTTGAAAACTTTCTGAATCTTGAAAAAAGCAAAGGCTTTGATGATTGATGATCAATGGTTTGTGATTGGTGATTAAAAAAATGATGACCTAGACCTAGAGCCTCTGAAACTAAACTGCAGCATTATCATTTATCTCCTCTTCGATAAGCTACGATTCCACAATGGCATCTTTGCCCCGGGGCCTCAAGCTAATAAAGACCTCACTGAATGGCATTCAACAGCTCACTGAGCATTCTTTCAAAAACTTCACGGGAGCTATTTTGTTGCGTTTGAAACAGTATTAGGTTAAACAAAAGAGTCTGGTTTTAAATATTACAAACTCCCATTGTTCATTACTTTAGTTGGGCATTTTAGCGAATACTGGGGCGGCGGCCTTTGAAGACAAACAGGTTTTCGAGAATTCAAGAAAACTTTAGAATTATGTTGATCATCATGTTTTGAAATCAGTTGATTCTATTGCTGTAGAAATTCAATCGCTAAAATGGCAGCAAAAGAAATGAAGACTTCAATATACAATTCAGGCACATGTAAACGGCTCTGGATTGATAGAAAGCTTTTAGAGAGAATTTTGAAAACACACTTCCAGCTTAGGAGGCAGACGCGTCTTAGGGAAAAACAAAACTTAAAGTAGGTCATTGATATCAAGAAATGTAATCTTTTTAAACGAGGGGATTTGATTTTGAAGGAGAAAAGAAGCAGTAAATTGAAAATTATCAAAGTAATTAAAATCTTGTTGTAAAATGAGCCATATGACAGAAAATAGGAAGAAAATGTAAACCTGTTAGCGCCAATTTACTGCCGCTTTGCTTCTTCAGAATCAGATGTTGTATAGAGCCTTAAACCATCGGCAAAATGTCACAGTGAAGGCTGAAGTACTTAAAAATGACAAAATTTAATGACGGTTGAAGCATTTGGCAAGGAAATAACGCCATGCCGAATATTGCACTAGAAAATGAAAACGGTCGTGATGACAAGTCTATTTGACAATGAAAAAATACTTACATAATCGAAAGAGAAAACACCTTACTTTCTTTACAAAAAAACAATAAAACTCATTTCGATATTAAAACCATCCCAACCTTGAATACACAAATACAGGACTTCAAAACGACTAAATAGTGTGTTTTCCTCTCGTCAATTTGAGTTAAATTATATTAAAAAATTATGGTGATTCAAAAGACCCAAAATTATCGAAGTAGCACATTCTGTTTTTCTGAGCTTATGAAGAGAAGTAACTACCTGCTCCTTTCTGTTTTATTAACATTTTGGAGACAAAGCCCAAATTTCCAGATTAGTAAACCCTAGAAGATAGCGCAGATGGTTTGAAATCAAAATTAAGATTTCATGTCCACAGAAGGTAACCAAATCTCATCTAAAAAATTTCACAAAGGCTACAGTGCTCCCAAAGTTTGTGTAAGCCTTTTCAGGAATGCCCTTTCAGTTGAAACGGATTCTTGCACAACTGCCCTTTCTGTAAATTGTCCATTCTGTAAATTGCCCTTGTCAATTGTCAGAACTTTTATATGACTGTTAACTTACCCTGGGTAGCAGAGTCTCAGAGAATGGAGTCGCACAGTGGAGGGCCGTTGGTGGTGAGGGGAGGAAAGTTCCCCTTATCTAACGGCCTTTCATTATTCGACTCTACTATTCGACTCGATTCCGTTCACAGGCTCGGGCACCAAGATACCACTGACCATGATAAATAAAAGTTATAGTTCTTCCTTTGTCCCTGCATTAATAATATTAATGCAGGGACAAAGGAAATATAATTGGAGCTTAGATTATTATGCTTTAGGAGTTACATTTATTCACAATTTTATTACGACATTGCTCATTCCATAGAATCTACTTACAGTCACAAATATTGTTTGAAAAGTTGTGACCGTAAGTGAAATGAGACTGTAAGCGAGCCATTGTTATAATTTTACATAGCTGGGCCTAAATATTATGCGACAGTAACAGGCAGTTTAGCCTGAGTTCCAGACCCCTAGCTTGAAAGTAGACTTTTTACCTTCAGGTATGAGTTCAGTACCAAAGGCTGCAGGAAGTGTGGCTTGTAGTGAAGGGACAAGCGAAGTCAATTGTTAATTATGGATGCTGCTGTCGAAGGGTTTTCTCGTTGGACAATTTCTGCATATTAATAATTTTTCTCCCAGGTACCATGACACGTGCGCCAATGGTAAACACCAAGTGAAATGGTTGCCAGACTGTCATACAACGCTTCTCAAGCCACAAATCACAAACAATTAATCATGTCTCAAAAATAGTGATTGATTGCTCATAACGGTTACACTAAAACAAAAAACAACAACTTGCAATAAGACAATCCAAACGAATGTTATGATAATTTTTGATTATATGGTAACTATTGACAATGATCACTGTGATTAGTGACGAGGTTGGCTTTGGCAGTGGTGATTATCAATGATTTCAATGAGGGAGGAAGGAAAATGATCACGAGGATGAAGATCATGATGATTACTGTAAATCAAAAAATGGGGGCAGAGGCAATGGTGATGGGCGGCGATTAGGACGGTTTTACATTGCCTTATTTGTTCTCCACATCAAAGGGAACAGTGGCAAAGAGGAATAAGAGACAAAGAAAGTCACATATTTCGATGCATTTCAAGCCATTTCAAATACATTAACTTCTTTAAATACTTTAATATAGCTCTGTATCATTTCTTTGTGACTCCTGGTCTCCTTAATATATAAACTGTTCTAGTATGACACAATTTCTCGTATAAATATCAACTTGCCCAATTCTGGCCACAGAATTATTTAATATTCGACGTATAAATGAATCAACAATGGCATAAGTCTATATAAAATATCAACGTTTAGCTTCGAATCTCCTCAGTAAGTGCCAGTTGATGATTACACGGACAGGAAATGAAAAATTATGGGTCTTTTTTGAAACATCCAGGGTCAAAATTACAACTGAAACACTTGTCCCGGTTTCCATTGAACAAAACCTTTGGTTTGACCTTTTTCACGGTGCATAACAATGACTGCGAATAGCCTGCGTATTAAAAACGGTGAGACAATAGAAAGGCTCAGTAACGTTATGTATTTGAAACTCCATGCTCACGTCTAGAATAATAAACGCCGGAAAAGAATTTTTTAGGATGACGGGGTACAAAATGTGACTAAAGACCACAATTGAATGGATCGAGTTCGCGAAAAAACCTTCACGGAAACGCTGTAATCACCGCAAACATATTCAGTCCTTGTAAACTTTTTTAAAGGCAAAACCAAGAATCATAAAGTTTAGCGTTCCTGACAGCCTTGTTGATTCATAAAGGCGTGAATAATAAGAATAACGTAAACATATATTTCGAACCATGTCAATAATGACGTATATATAACGAGGTAAAGTTCTTAATAAACTGATAACATTGCATCAATAAGGCCTTGGGGGTGGGGCAGGTGTTTCGGGCGAGTCCTAAAAGGCCGTTCTTTTAGGGTTTCACCTGCAACAACACGCACAGCTTCGTCTACAGTTATAGATGGAATACAGCTAAGGACACGTGGTTTCAGGATGTGAAGCAAATACCTTTCCTACATAGGTTTTCTACATGTCATTATTCTCGAGACCTTGATGTTAGGCTCTTACATACCCAGAGATATGCATAGATAACAAACTGACCAGAATGATATTAAGTTCTTCTATTAGCAATATAAATATCTGGAGAAATGCTGAGCATACGAGGGCGTGTCCATGCATAATGAATGACTCATATGTAAAGGCATCCAAAGAAGGATCATTAGGGGAAAGAAATTGCGATATTGTATGCATGGCATCTGGAATGGTCACGTAAAATAACCGAACGTCAAGCATCCTGAATCCACCTGCCTTAACGCGCAAAGGACTCTCTAAACTGTCTCCAAATCGTAGAAATACATCTTCACTAGCACCACTATAGTTATAAGCAACACTTTACGATTTAAAATAGCTGAAGCTAAACTAGGAAGACTACATAACTAGCACCCCTACCAATAGGATCCTTATATGATACCCAACTGATTGCTTAAACAATTTGACAAATAAATGCATCATAACATGAAAGATGAAAACCAAAAATCTAAAAATAACAGGTGGCCCTATACAATAACTGGGATCAACGATCAACGGCAAAAATTCAATTATAATTCATTGTCCATTTAGCAATTATAGTGTTGAACACCAAGATAGCTCTCACAACACATCAAAGTTTTGTCAAACCTCTTACACGTGGCCATAAGAATAAAAACATAGTACATAAAATTACTTGGTACATGCAAGATCAAATTTTTAAAACGCTATTCTCTTTAATCTCAAGACAGACTTAGATATAATGCACCAATGTTTTAAAAATAAAATGCTAAAAAGTGCTTTAAAATTTGTTAATATTTATCGAAGTCAGTTAATTAGTTGCTGTGGGAAAATACATTTTGACGACAACTGATGTGTTGCGAAGGGCTACTTTTAATTGAAGTTCAGAATTCATTTATACTATTGAATGATAACAGTTAATTGTGTTTAAATAGTTATCTCTATGTAGAATAAAAACAAAGGGTGTCTGTGGTTTAAGTTGAATAAAAAGAGTCGTGCAATGGAATGACAGAAATCATAATAACAAGCTGCGAGTACTTATTAAACGATATACATAACGAATAAATGGAATAATGAATAAACATAATAATATTCAAAACAATGCGAATAAACTATAATAAATTACGTCCAACAAACAACTCTAAATGCATTAATCCGTACCCACAAATGGCATATGTAAATAACTGGGAAGATGACGTAAACGCAAAATTTGTGCGAAGAAAAATGGCATCATGTGACAGTGAGATGACTGAATGAGGTCAAGATAACCTCATCGATGGGACACGGTGAACAAAGAAGCAATCGCGTGCAAATTAAACTTAATAAAAACCTAAATAAATCTCGATTGGCATTGCAGACAGCAGTCTTTTCTATTCGTACTCCAGACGCTTTAGAGCGAAAACTATTGCACGAAAAAATGAAAGCAAAATTCTAATGTTTGTGTCTGGGATTTTAAATACCAAAAAACACTTAAACCAAGGATGAAATGAGTTATGAAACCTGTTCAGGAATGTGCGGGTGAATTCTTGGGTTTCTTAAACGATACTTGTAAGGGTTTCCCTCTCTCCAGACAATAGCCATTTAGCCGCAGAATTCCATAGCATGCGTCTTCGTAAGTCACCATATTGACGAACCCAAAGCCTTTACATTTCTTCTCCTCGTCTGTAATAACTTTCACGCTATCAATCGCACCAAATTTGCTGAATAACTGAAACAATGTCAGTTCGGTGGAATTTGCTGGCAAATTATAAACAAATATACACCATGGCGATACTGCATTTGCTGGAGTTAAACTAGCAGGCAAATTCATTCCAAACGCATTGCCAGCGTAGTTATTCAGGCCCGAGTTGAAAGCAGCTGTCATAGGCGAATATAGGCCTTGGCTTCTGAGGGCTGCAGGTGAGACACCGGCCAGTCCTTTGGCCTGGGCAGCACTTGTAAGCATATCTACAGATAATTTCTGGCTTGGTGGATTGGCAAATTTCACCGTCAGTGGTTTCACTGCTCCCGGTAGCTCAGGAATTTTGTTGTTCAAGGCATCAATAGCTGCCTCCGCCTGCCTTCGTTTGTCGAATCGAACAAAACCGACGCCCTTACTAACTCCGGATTCATCTTCGAGAACTTTGCATGTAATTATATCACCAAATCTACCAAAAAGCCTTGCTAAGTTGTCTTTGCTGCAATTAAGTGATAGCCCACTAATGTAAAGGTTAGCATTTTTTATTTCGTTCGAGCTGGGCCGTGCATAACTGACTTTTATCGTCTTGGACGTAAGCTTCATGCCACCGAGAGAGTCGATGGCCCTCTTCGCATCACAAGAATTAACGTAGTTAACAAAGGCATATCCAAGACTAACGCGCGTGGTTTTATGTTTTATTAGCTTACAGCTTTCAAGTGGGCCTATTGATGAGAATAAGGTACGCAACTCCTCCTCGGTCATCTCTTGTGGCAGGTAGTTGACAATCAGATTTGTTTTCGAGACTTCGTTCTTCAAATCGTCCTGATTGTTCCGCATACCCTCAGCGTGTCCGTTCATATGTTTCGTCTCCATTTCAGCAAATTTGGAGAGTTGACTGTAAGTGAATTGCTAAACTAAACAATAACAAGACAAACTTAAAAAGTGTTCAAACAGAATGACGCTTGTGTAAATAAAATTCCCCAACACAAACCTTTCGAAATGAACTGGCCTCACTTTGCGTATGTTGAAATTTTTTATTATGAGTAAGCCAGCTTTCCTGAAGCACGTGCCCAATAGGAAGAAACCACTTTGCATTTCCATTGTGATTGGGTGATCGCCGTTGTGATTCACGACCTGATTGGTCAGTATTATGTAGCTAGTGACAACCTGACGCATATTTCCTTTAATGGCTGTAAACAATTGTTTCGATGAGGCTCTAGAGCTCCATTGTTCTCTCGGAAAGTTTTCAGTCCATCTGCATAGCAAGGGTGCTAAAACAAAGGACGTGGGAATTCTGTTGTAAGATAACAATGCTCTTGTGCGTTTTTTCCATTATCTAAGGAATTCAAACGTTCTGCATGATTGGTCATTAAAAATTTACATCATATGAAAACATAGGCCACAAGATCAGCCAGAAACAGCACCTGTGACGCCCATCCTACTTCACCATTTATATTATCGATGATTCCAAATTCCACGAGAAGAGAAATTGCGGAGATCCTGACATTAAAATTTCATGATATACAGGCGAAGTCGATCGAAAAGTTTTCCAAGCTTACAAACGTAATGTATAAAAACTCCGCAGTTTTCCCCATTCATTGCAATTGTAAGAAAGTTTTTTGTCTTTCTTCTTAACATCAGCGTTTGAATTCCCAGTTGATTTGGGAGTGTTTTCAAAATGCAGCACATTTGTTTGAAGAGGATCGCTCCATTTGAAAAAGTTTCTGTGCCCCAGTTGTGCACGTTTACTGGTAAAATGATAAAATATAGCAAGTCATTGTACCAAAAATTACGCTTTTCTATTCTTTCGATTAAGATTAAGATTAAGATTGGAAAGGCCTCTATTTTCACCTCAAAATATAACAAAGTTCCTGTGAAAAAATACAGGTTATTATTTTGCGGAAAAAAATCGAAATCTGTCACCATCCTTGAAAAAAATATTTCATACAGGTTGAATACAGATCAAACAGAGATAATGACCAAGCATGTAGAGGATCAAAACATTGGAAAAGGAGGTCATTAATCTCGACGCGACAAATTTTCTTTGGAGGACAATCATTAGTTTCCTTGAATTAGAAGGATATAAAGAATTTGTTGATGGAATAAAATGAGATTTCTAAACCGACAAAACAATGCGGATTTCAGCATCCCTGGCGATTCAAATATCTTGCCCGGAGATATTTTCAGGATTTTTTTATATACTCGTGAAAATGCATAAAAAATTACGCCTTATGATAACATTAAAAAGATAAAATATAATTTAGGCAACAAAATATACAAAAAACTAAAATGCAAAAAACACTTGAAATTCAGCAATACTTTGCTTCTTGACAAAACTGGTTGGTTATATCTTGGGCGAAAATGAAATGCTGCGAACACCGTTTGACATGGACGTGTACTTTAAAAAGGCCTAAGCTTGCTTTGAGGGCGTCCTTACAAAACTTCCTCGGATGGCCAACAAAGCAAATTTTTAGGATTATTTCAATTTATTTTGAAGACCTAATGAGAAAATTTTTGGTCGTATTACAGGTGTCGCTAATGAGGGGGAGGTCTACAGCCCTCCCACTCAGGACCGTTAGCCCCCACTGGGGACAATTTTTCCCTGGGACAGGGACGCCGAAAAATTTTTTGGAATACTGGAGTGGGAAGGCTCTACATAAATTGGTGAAATTTTATGGTGGTTTGCCTCCATTATCATTGATATCTCAACCTTAATACCAAACATCAGCGAAAAGTGGGAGTATAGCCCCAAGCCCCCCTCCTCCGGCGTCCCTGTCCCAGGGAAATATTGCTTTCTTATGAAATTGATAGATAGGGGGGTCATATAAGCTGCAGGTGGACGAAAAATAATTTTTGTTGAATCGAGGCTTGACTTTGTTATCTTTTGGATTATTTGAGGCTCGGGTGTCTTTAATGCTGTTCTAACTAAACATTTTAGAAACAAATTGTTTCTAAAAAAACTTAATAGTTTTTTGGCGTCATTTTTTAGTACACGATTGGTTACCTTATCAAATATCCTCTAGTTTGCGTTAATTCAGAGAAAACTTTCTTTTTAAGTAACGATAAATAAACTTCTCCACGCATGTTATTCAGTGTGCAAGTTCTGATGCTTCTAAAATGCATGCATTAATGGCTCTTGTCAAGGAGCTTAAAAATTTTGTGCATATTTTTCAGAGAATTAAGAGAAAAACTTAATATATTTCGATGCATTAGCAATAAAGGCAGAAACACTGTCGAAACAGCCTTGCCCTTCTTTAACACTAATTATAATCTTAATGCACCCATAGAAGCTTAAACTTCGAGGATAATGCAAACCTATTTCACTAATTTCGCGTTTAGAGGCATTGAGGCATTTTTAAGCTATGGTCTGTAGGATCATATTGTTATTAAATGAAACATTAATTATTAACTTTGTGCGATTTTCTTTGTTTTGTAGGATGAGTCGAAGATCATACAGATCGCGAGACAACATAAGGTTGCATGCTAGGCATCAACCGAGGAATTAGCTGTAAAGGGATCGACTTCCATGATTTTCGTGATAACATTTATTGCTAGTCGTTGCATTGTTCGTCTTAATGTTTACATCTGTAGTCTTGGATAAAGCTATTCAGAAACAATTAAAGTTTCCAAAATGCACAAACATAACTAAAACAAAAATAACCATATCTGCAACCTCCCCTCATTCCCCCAAAGCAAAGTCTTGTCGGTAACATCTAACAGCAAACCCAAACACATTCTCGATTAAAAAACCAAATTGGGAAATATTTGGCGGTTTTTGTCTCGAGAGGAAGAGTACAGAGGGGCCACGAGCCTGCACATGTCAGTAAAATATTTTGCTAATAATTGAACATTTTTAGGGAGCTCCAAGCTCGCGCAGCCCTTGAAATGCTGTACATTGATAATGAAGAGGAAGCACCATCTACGGACACCTCTATACATCGGACACTGCTCAACAACGGATATATAATTTTGTCCAATTTTGCCATTAAAGGAACCTCTTTTACAATGGATAACGACACTGATCTGAACGGTGTCCGGTATGTAGAGGACCCACTGTAATAGATAACACTTTTCGCTGGAGGCTCCTACTCTATGTATATAAGATATAAAACATATGCATTATACAAAAACAATCTCTAAAATTTATTAAGTCAAAGAGCAATACCAATATTGTCTCAAAAATAATCCCAACAATGACACCCTTAAAGAAAAAAATAGCACAGTCTGCAATTCTCAATCCGATTCAGTTAATCAAGGAAAAAATTTTACTCCTGTTAACTTTCGTTTAAAGCATCCATATATTTCATCAGCGTGATCTACATAGTAACCGCGTGACATTTCGTGCCCCCACTTCAGAGAGAAACCGAGAACCCATCCTCAGTTCCCTTAGCACATTTGAAATTTTACTCAAAAAGTTTTACATTTAGAGTTATTTTAAGATACCCAACAACTAAATTGCCCTTGAAAGATCCTTTTAGCCTGTGTCCCAGACCCCTGCACAGGCTAGATCCTTTAAGCAAACTTTTTCTGCAATACAATGACAAAACCTATAACCCAAGACTTAGACTTCGGCAAAAGGGGTATTGAAAATGTATCTAAAATAGATGCGACAGTAATAATATCCCTTTGTAATGTACATTTGTGGGGCAGAAAAAAACACAGATGATAAGCAAAGAATGGGATAGCTCTAAAAAGATTACTAAAATCCATAATTGTTGTGCGTCTGGTAACCAATGCACTCTTTAGCATAGCAGTGCAATTGTGATCAGTTCCAAAAAGAAGAAAAAATTGAAACAATAAGAGTGATCGAACCAAGTTGGCTGGGCAACAACGTTGCCCAGTAGTAAATGAACGGTTAACAAAAAATCTTGAAGTTTCATTCACTTTGTCATTTGGTGTACAGTAATTTGAAAGCTAATGATGATATGTCGTCTGAAATTATTTTTGACTATAAAAAAACATATTTATTCCTCAAAGTGAAAAAAAATTTGAAACGTCTATAGATAACCACAGTCTATAGATAGGTTCACTCGTGAATATACGACCTCGTAACAATTATTATAAAGCAAAAACGTTTGCGACCCCGAAACAATGACGTACATGGGACGTCCTAACCTTGACGTACAGATTTCTGTAACAAATGTTGACACAAATACCCAACAACTAAGAAATATTGCTTGTTGGAGGTAGGGGGCGGTGCTGGTGACCTAAATTGGGATCAACTTCAGATACGAATTGACTGCCGTTTAAATGTAATCAGTGTTAGAATTAGGACCGATTCCATCATAACGATCCTTTCAAACAAACTTTTTCAACGATTGAAAAGGGGGTGTGGGGGGGGGGGGATCACATCATTACCAATCACTTTTTCCCACATCCATCATGTTCATTATCAATCAATGCTTAACGCACGAAACTGCATTCATCTTTACCGTATTTCTTCTTAAATCATCTAGTCACACGACACTCCCCTAAAAGCACCTGCGCTTTCAACCATGAAAATAGGATAATACCAGTCTCTAAGATCCAAAAACGTATCTAAAACCGTACCAAGTCATCCAGCTCTGGGCTTCAAGCAGATTTAGCCCACCTCCCCCTCAACAAAATTTTGAAAATACCAATACAATAGTAACTAAAATGGTTTTTAAACTACTATGGTGTAAACTAATGAGCCTTAAACACCAAAAAAACATTGGGTGGGCAAAGTGCAAGTACACTTACTTTAATAGGATTGGAAAAGATATCAAACCCTGTAACGAAACATATCAATTTTCTTGAATTTCTCACTAAAGTTGTGGCTCCAAAAAGAAAAAGGAGTGTGACTTGGAGCAGAGACCCTCCTTTCTGGAAAAGACCAGAAAATCTTTCAAACTACCATCATATATCAGCTACGGGGGATGGGGGGAATATTATTTAGATTTCCTTAAGGGTTCCTTTCAAGAGGGTCCTTAATTAGGCAAATTTTAAACCAGAATTATCAGGTGAACAGCCTTGGCTTCCCGGAGGAAACGAAACTTTTCCAAGAGAAAATGACTCACGAATTCACAGTTCG